TCGAATTCAGGAATAGTGAGCTTTTGTTGCTGTATTTCAGGTAGTTTGGGTAAATGGTCGATGAGGTCCTGCATTTCATAAAGATACTGTTCATTTGTTTCATCTTTTGCAGTGCAATCTAAATCTCCTTGGAGAAGTTCCTGCTTTATCTTCTGGATTTCTGTTTCGAAAGTATATGAAGAAGGAATGAAGCTTTTCATCTCTACTAACATTGAAGTTGGGTTCATGACTAAAGAGTTTGGTGAAGTTGTTGCTAACATGTTCTTACAATAAAAATAAAAAAATATTTTTTTAAAAAAACTAACTTTATTTTTTATGTTTTTTGTGAAAGTGTCAAAATTCATGAAATTTCAAGAGTTTTCTACGATGTTAGAAAACGTGTTAGAAAACATGTTAGATCTAACATTCTAACATAAAATATATTTTTTGGTCGTTTACACTCATTACGAAGAAGTCTTGACAAAACATTTACGAAGAAGTCATGAAAATTCAAGAGGGTAGAAAAGAGGTTAGAAAACAGGTTAGATCTAACCTTCTACCCTAAATTATATTTTTGTCGAATTCAATAAAAATAAATGGTTCATTTACTCACAATATTTTTGTACAAAACGACCCCAAACTTTTAACTTCTTTTCTGCAGCTTCTAATGCTATCTTAGCGAGTTCATATTCTCTAAATTCTCTCTTTAAATCTTCTTGTTCCCATTGGTCTAGTTCGTATGGAGAATCTCTATAACCAGAACATATCTCACGTTCATGTTCTATTTGTTTTTCATGCATTTTTCTAACTTCTTGTTCGAACAAAGGTTTTGCATTCTCTACTGTATCTTCAAGTTCTTCTTCATCTAATTTCTCATGAACTTTCTTGTCTATGGAGTCCAGAATTTTTCCAACTGCTATACAATATTTTGGAGAAGCCCACATTGCTATATAGTTTACAAGTCTTGGGTCTACATACATTCCTCTAACCTGTTTGATTTCATCCGGAATTCCTGCATGAACTGTGTATAAAAAGCAACCCGCTGTTTTCCGCGGGTTGGTATATTCTTCACAAAATGCCTTAAAATACTCTTCCCAGGACTTATTTTCCAACAACCTTCTAAAGTCTTTCCTAAACTGCTGACACATCTTTGTTGCATTTATATAACCATCCTTGTCTCTACGTAAGACTTCAATACCGTTGTAAGTGCCTTTTGTGAATGTTTCGCCATTAGATTTGTTCGTGAACGTTTTTGCTTCGACTGACATTTCTGTTCTTACAATAAAAATAAAAAATATTTTTTGGTGGGACGTCGGACATTCGTTTGTGGCTTAACCGTCGGACCACAACGATAAAAATCTCGACAAAACATATACGATGAAGTCTCAACAAAACATTTACGATGAAGTCTTAACAAAAAATATACGATGAAATCTATTTCCTGTGTTGTTGTCAAAATGTCATGTTGTCACACTTTTTCAAAAAGATGTTAGTTGACCGAGTGACCGAGTGACCGAGTGACCTGGTCGCCTAAAATATATTTTTTTCTATCTTAAGGAAATTCATGAAAATTCACCTGTTGAACTTTGTATAAAAAGCAACCGCCGGAATTCCGCGGGTTGGTATATTCTTCACAAAATGCTTGTTTTGAGGTTAAGCCACTTTTGGCTCCACCTCTTTTTTCAACCAAAAACTCATTTTTGTCGAATTCAGCACAAAATTCATGAAAATTCAACGGGTGAGAAAAGAGGTGAAAAAACAGGTGAAATCTCACCTCTTCACCTAAACATTATTTTTCAATACTTTTTCAGCACTTTTCCGTAGTTGTATATGAAAGACAATTCGAGATAAAATTTCTTCATCTGATATATTCCTACCGGCGTTTGTAAACATATAGTCTAACGGTTTTGTATCTGCTACTTTTGTTCTTTGTTTTTCAACCTGAAGCATTTAATATATGTAAAAATATATGGTTTAAAAAACGTTTTTACTTCATGCAATGTTTTATTTCATGCAATGTTTTATTTCTGTGCCGTCTTCAAGTATGCCCCAGTACTTACGTTTGGAGAGGACATGAACTTCTGAAAATACCTTATCTAGCTTAAAACAGCCCATCTTCTCACCGACTAAACCCATTTCAATGAGTTTGTTGTATCCTTCTTCGTTCGTCATGAGTGCGTCGATGTTCTCATAGTAAACCACAATTTTGGATTTAACCTCGGAGAAAAATTTGTTGTAGTTGTCAAGGACTGCCTTTGCGAACTGAGGGTAGGACCAATGTTCGACAATAGGTTTTAATGTGGTTACTAAGCCACTTTCACCTTCGGTAAATTCGTATTTCAAAACAAAAGGAGAAAACCTTTCAACAAAGTTGTCGACCTTCTCATAATGTTTACTCTTCATCTCTTGAGGTTTTTTAATGGAATACCCCCATGTCGAATTCATAAGCAATTTGATTGTCATTGCAAGTTTGGGGTTTGAAGCTTTCCTAATATCATAGAGTTGTTGTATGACTTTTCCAACTGTATAGTTCCTTCCCGGGAACTCGCCATCTTCGTTTGGAATTCCAGTCGGGATATATTGGACAAACCTCATGTACGCAGCGTTAAGGTCGACATAGTATATTTTTTCATCTGAGTCGAACTTGTCGCAACCAATCGGCCCGGTTCGTGGAAATTCAAGTGAGTCTCTTATCTTCTGAGAAACCTCGCCTGTTATCTCATAAACATCGTCGAAGCAACCTGTTTCATATAAAACCTTCTGACCTAACTCAGATGCTCTCCAATACAATTTGACGTCGATTGGATGTCTCAATGGGAGTTTGTTTATAGCATCTTGAAGTTCTTGCAACCTCATTGGAAGTTCTTCTGGTTCAGGTTGGTATCCGAACAATCCAACTCCTTTTGGAACCGTGTACTTCTTTTGTGCTAGAACTTTGTCTGGAACAACTTTTGGTCTTGCTAACAATGAAAAGTTTGTTTCGTCTTTTGGTACAAAAGTTTCTGTCAGCTTGTCATCTGGAATTGGTTCCAACAAGCCTTTCTCGAAAAGAATGTTAACAGCTCTGACAATGTTGCACTTGCCTTTTCCGAACAATGGGTTCGTAAGACTTTCGTTCAACATGAAGTGGTTGTGGACAATTACAATCTTCAACCATGGTAAGTCTTTGTCAACAACATAGTCGTCATGTGAAGAACCTTTAGCTGTAGGTATGTTGACTCGGATATTGACATTTGCCAACGGTGCAATTTTTGTCAATTGACCTCTGAGAATGTACCTTGTCTTCACACATGACTCAAGATACTTCATCTTCTCATCTGTAACAAGACCAGAGTTCCTGAGACATGTAAGAATACAAGGTTCATTGACAATTGTTTCAATTGAATTGTAAATTCCATACCTTGTCAAGTCAATGTCAGACTTATTTCTGAACGGGAAGTATCCAGCATGTTGTCTGACTGCTTGAGGGTTAGGTTGGTACCATTCGAACTTGACACTTGCAATTCCTTCAATTGCATTCAAAATGTCTGAGTCGGAGTCAACCATTTGTTCTCTCTTTGTAGTCTTGAAAGCGTCAAGAAGTTGTGCGGCTGTTGTGACATTGCCATGTGCATAGTAAATGTGACCGTCCAAATCTGTTACGGTTAGTCTGAGATTGTATCCTTTCTTATTTCCGTCTTGAATTGCAGCAAGTACACCCATGAAGCCTTCTTTGTTCTTTCCTTCGTCAAAGTTTACTGTAAAGGTTCGACCAGATGTAATTTGACTTCTAACTTCACGATACTTCTCATATGCATATCTTGTTCTTTCCATGGGAGCATGTTTGTCTTCACCCTTCCCTTTTTTCCTTCTCAAAGGATGCAATTGTTCGTCATGTTTCCAGTAGAATCTGGCAAAGCCGTCGTGTCCTTCAACTTGAGGCTCAGAAACATCGAAAGGCATGTCCATAAGACGTTCTTCTTCTAACCTCTCGAGTCTGTTTGGATAATTTGCGCGTGCTGTTTCCAAATCCATTTCGTAGCGAAGACCAGACAGTTTGTCATAGACTTTTATTGGCTTTCCCTTCCTATATTTAAACTTCTTCGAAACTTTCCAACCATATCTTTCTAACTCTGCTTTTATTCTAGCAGACCTTCTGTCCATTCTATATGGGGGCATTTTTATAAAAATAAAAAAAATATTTTTTTCTTTACTTTACATAACCACCTGCTGCCATAAGTCTTTGACGCCAACCCATACCAGCTAATGAAGGTTGACTTGGTTTAGTTTGGAAACTAAACTTTGGTTTTGGTTTATCTTCAGTTTTTGGTTTTTCTTCTTCTATCGGTTTTTCGTCACTTTTCGGTTCCTCTGACTTTTCCCCACCTGCAGGAACAGTTGTGTCGTCAACATCTTCATAAATATCATATGCCATTTGTTTTTGTTTTCCTTTCAACTTTTTGTGTTTGTTGTAAAGTTTAGAATATTTCGACTCTAAGTCAATGAGATGTTCTATAATGAACTGTTGGTCAGTGAAGTAAACTTTTCCATCTGTTGTCTCGAAAGCTCCTTCAGACTTCAATATTTTATTTGTGAGAGTCTGTTTCTTTTTTGAGATACTAGCCGTTCCATTTCTATGAAAAGTGACTTTGTAGTTAGGGTTTGTATTTCCAGACCTGGCACTTTCTATTATTGAATTTTTTTCTTCATCTGTAAGTTCTTTGACAGGTTTTGACAATGGTTCTGAACTTTTTGTTTGTGGTGTCAAATCTACCGTTTCAACTTCTTCGGTCATTTCATCTCAGTAAAAATTTTAGTTTGGTTTGTTTTCAACTGGTTGTTGTTGTTTTTTAAGTCGGTCTAAAACTTCCTGAGGTATAGGAAGAACTTGACAAACACGTTGTGTAACTGCTGGAAGCCGACAAATCCATCTTGAACCCATTTGTCTCAATGCTGTATTGTTCATTTCATCTCAGTAAAAAACTTTACATTCCCCACGTTTGAGGCGGTTGAGGTTGGTTATTGTTTACCCATTGTTGTGCATGGTTATATCCTCTGTTAAAGAATCTTTCACCTTGGTCCATATAGTGTCCTGCTTGGTTATAGTAGTCATTTGCTTTGTTATAATAGTTTCCTGCTTGTCTTCCTACATTGTCCATCCATCCTTGAACTTTTCCTCTTGTTTCAGGATTGGAATAAGATTTGCTGCATCTCGTGCTACATCCCAACCTTTCTGTACAGTTTGTATAATAGGTTGTGCTTTCTCTTTAAGTATACCTAATGTACTCAAAATCTTCCTTCCAACTCCAAATACACCTCTGGCTATTGTTCCAACTGCGGGCAAAAATCTGGATGCAACTCCTGCTAATGCGCCAAATAAACCCATTTCTTACAGGGTAAAAATGACGAATCCAAACAAGGACCCCTATGTTTCTAAAGCGACAAAGAAAGCACTCATGGTAAAAATCTTTAGTTCAACACCAAATGCTTGGTTTATGGATATCTTGGAAAACATTCCGAGGTATAGAGAAGATGGACCTCCATACTGGCTAATATTTGTCGGTCAAAACACAAGATACTGTGAAGCCATACCATTACAATCCAAAAATATTTTAGATGTGAAAACTGCTTTGACAATATTCGTTGACAAATACCATCCAACAAAACTGACATCTGACTGTGAAAGTTCTTTCAAATCAGACGATATTAAAAACTATCTGCGTTCAAAAAATGTAAACCAATATTTCATTGTCGACCAAAACCATTCTGCTCTTGGTGTCATTGACAGTTGTATAAAAATCTTAAGAGACTTAAATCAACCACAAGGTGGTGAAGCAAATGAAATGTCATATGACGACAAATATAGACACTTCTCCATGGCAAAGATGAGACAAGTTTTAAATATTTACAATAACCGTAAACAAAAAGGTTTGGGAAACCACTCCCCGAAGAAATGAAAAACAACCCGACTTAGAGAAAGACTATATATTTAATAGTTTAGTCAAAAGAGACAAACAAGAAAGAATGCCAGGCTTCAAACTTAAGAAAGGTGACAAAGTAAAATAGAAATACCTAAACGCGACCCATATGAAAATACTATTGACTATGACAACAATGGGAACTCGACAGGTACTCGCATTCGTGTTCGTAAAAATAGAAGAAAGTACATACAGAGAATATTATGAAGTTTTAGGCAAACATGGCAAAATGTACAGACTGCAAGCAGAAGATAAAACTACTATTGTCAGACCTCGTTTCAAACTTGTTAAGGTTCAAGGTGGTATACTTTCAAAGACAGTTCCTAACAAATATAAGACAACTCCTGACGATATGCTAAAGAAGTTGAAAATGACGACTAAGCAATTCTATACCATGCACAAACTGTCATGTAAGGTGGCATGTATTTTTTACCTAGTCCTGTAGATGTTGTTGTAAAAGTATGTTGGTGGTTTCCTCCTGGTTCAGTTTGTCGAAAAGTCTTTTTTGCTGAATGGTTATAATCTGGAGATAAAACGTCATAGCCAGCTTCATACTCTGAGTTGTATAATGGGTGGTCTCTTAATGAGTGGCTATGGTCGCCAGAAAAGTTTGTTGTACCAGAATGACTATGTGGTGGCAAGTTGTCGACAGATATCGTTTTACTTCCACCTGTTTTCTTTGGAGTGTGTGCACAATACAAAAAACTTTCGAGTATTTGAGTCCAAGTTCCAAAAACCAAGTACTACTTCTGGTCTGGTAGAGTTCATTGACGTGTAAATAGAACCAACTGGGTAAATGGTTTGAAGTATTTCTGTCTTTAATGTTTGAAGCTCTGTTTTGTCAGCTTTTTATCATATAAATCTGAGCAGTGAATTTAACTTTGTTTTCATCCTCCATGACATAGACATTTCTACATCTAATGTATCTCATCGTTGTTATGTCTTCTTCGATGTTAAACCTTGTGGAAAGTTAGGAGGTTTCCAATCTAATACATCCCCACCAGTTTCTTCAACCGTTCCTTCAATATTTTCTATACCAACAGTTGCGAAGAAATCGTGTGTATGTTCTATATCTGCCTTCTTTCAAGGCTAACGTTTAAGTCTGTTATTTCAGAAGATGTATGTGTATGTCCAACGTCACTTTTCCTGTTTAAGTTTCTTGTAAGTTTGTAATATTTGCAATGGTATGTGTATGGTTCTTGTCAGCTTTGCCATCTAACTTCTTGTAAGTTTGTAATATTTGCAATGGTATGTGTATGGTTCTTATCCGCTTTAAGGTCTAAACATCCTGAAAACCCACCCTGTATTGGCTTTACCTTCTAAAATCTTCGATGTCCGTTCATGGTACCATTCAACGCTTTTTATAATTTCATTGTCTTTTTCATCCACATATTCCTTATCTGCCTTCTTCACTAACGCACTAGCCACACATGCTAACTCATCGTTAACATACTCTTTGTCAGCTTGTGTCAACATCCTCTTTCGTTGCATATGTTGCATCTGCTCTGTCATGTTCTTCTTGAACTTTTTCAATGACATACTCTTTGTCAGCTTGTTGTCAACATCTGCTTTCAAAGAAGTTCATCTATAGGTTTCTCGTTTAAAGTTCCTTTTGTTGGATTTATACAAACAGTATGGTTCTTACTGTCTTGAAACAGAAACTCGTCTGTCAATGGGTTTAATGTCAGTTTTAAGTTTCCTTCTTTCAATGACTCAGATATCTTAGAATAGTTTGAAAAGTTTGTTGTGTTCTTATTTAGAGCTTGCAAAATGAGTTGTCGGTTGTGTTGTATTTCTCTCATAGACGCTGTTTCTTTCGACATTTTTATTCTAGATAAAATATGCTTTCAATAGAAAAAGAAAATTCAAGAGTTGCTACAACTAAACCATTAGATGAACTTTTTACTAACGTCGGTCAAAAGTTTGAGACAGAGACCGTAAAGCATGAAGGCTATCGTTTTGACTACCCACTAAGATGGTTAAGAGACCCATCCGTCACAAAAGCTATTGGCTTTCGTAGAATGAAGTTCATTTCAGAAGCCATACATGGTTTCCCATTTACGGTCGCTTTTGAAGTTCGATACTATAACAAAGAAAAACATACGTATGAGAAATTTGAACAGGGAAAACTTTTACAAGTTAGTTTGCTTGTAAACTTAGAAACAACTCTTCAAGCTTTTCAAGAAAAAATAAACGATATCTATCTCGAATATGCAAAACAGTACAACATTGACGAAGGAGAGTACCATCTCGATATTATATATGACAGGAAAAATGCAACTGTTAAAATCAATAGAATAGAAGACCTTGGAGAAGACGTTTATATTTCTACAAAATATAACAACTTGGCATGGTATAGATTTTTGAGGATGTTAAATCAGCCTGCAGAATATCCAGTACACCCGAACTTTTATGAAGTCGAAAACCCTAATGGAACATATGAAAATGTTTTCGACTCAGATGCTATTATAGTTCATGCTTCATTTTCTGGTGCACAAAACTCTTTTTTATGCTTGGCAAATGACTTTTACGAAAAACCTACAAAGCTATACGAACCACCAAGTGGAAGTATTTCAGACTTTCAAGTATGGTTTACTACAGATGGAAGAAAGAGAATAATTCCATTATACCACGCGTTTTACTTAGAACTTAGTTTCATATACAACTACTATCGAACGGTAAAAATATGATTTTTTAATACGGTTGAGGTGTTGGATTTGGTTGCCAACTAGACTGTGGTGCAGGTTCAGGCTGTTGTATAACAGGAGCTTGCTCTTCTGGTTCAGGTCTTTAGGTATAATACCAACGAACTGACCTACTCTTTTGCCAATATTTTTGACTCCGTTCCAAATTCCTCTTCCGACAGATTTTATCCATTCCATATACCTCTTCCAACATTTCGAAAGAAGTTTCCTATTCTTCCAAAGAAACCCATTTTACTATATGTAAAAATCTAATGTCCACCTAGTCTCTTACGTTTCCTTCTGAGTTCCATAGCATTCTTTAACTGGAGCTCATACATTCTATTTCTCCTCTGGTAGAAAACATACTCTGGGTCAACTCCTGTGTTCGCGTCATCTGCATAGAGTTGTTTATATCCCACTTCGGGGTTTGTATAAAACTCTTTCCATCTCATATTTGCATACCATGGTGGCAAACCTAACGCAGCGTCATTTGACATGGCAGTTTGCATTTGTACATCTGTTGGCACTTGACCATAGTTTGCCATTGCAGTTTGTATTCTAACTTCATCTGAAATATTCTCTGGGTTTGGTTGTCCAGGTTGCTGTGCATTCGCTAAGTTCTGTGCGTCCATTTAATATTAGATAAAAATATCTCTTACGAGTACATATGCTGAACATTTGCAGGCATTGGTTCATCTTCATATTCTCTGTACTTTTCTGCCACGTCAAATAAATAGATGACACAATGGAAAAAACCTAAAACAAGTAGTCCTATTTCAAACCACATTTACTTACTAGTAAAATTTCTTTGTTATGACACTTTCTCCAGTTTATAGGACCTCTCTCATATTCTATCTTATCGTATCTAAACTCATAGTCATGTATGTCCTCTAACCATCTCATGACACTTTCCAAACCACTTTTATCGGATGTAAAGTAAAAGCATGGATGGTTATGTAAAACGTCTAAAGTTTCTAAAGAGTCTCTCAAAGTCCAGTCTACTTGGTATTGAAATCCCATGTGTTATAGAACGGCGGGTCCACTATAAAGAAAACATTTTCCTTGTCTTTATATTTTTCATACAACTCTGTCCAATGACATCTCACAAACTCTATACCCTCAATATATTTTTCTATGTCCTCTTTGAAAACATTTGTATAGTTAAGATATAAAACTTTTGACATAAGTGTTTCAATGTCATGAACTCTTATAGCACCACTATATAATAGTCTAGCAGATATACTATCCCAGTCAATATACTCTGCCTTTTTCAAAACCTCTCTGACAGTATTTTTCTTATCTAATGGTATACGTTCCATCTTACCTATAGGTATCTTTTCTTTTAACTCTTTCAATATTTTGTTTGTGTCTGGTATATGTTTGAGACGGTTCATATAGTTGTCGAAGTCATTGCATATAATCTTTGAGTCAGGAAATATTGTATGGCACAAATGAGATATATAGAAACTTCCACCGAACAAGTCTACAAATGTTAGACCATTCGGTAGTTTCTTAAGTTCTCTCAATAGAATATCTTTACATCTACTCTTATTTCCAAAGAAGGGTAACGGTGGTTTTGTAAAATTCATTTTATATATATAATAAAAATGTTTTTTCCTGAAAAGTGACAGAAAAGTGACGGGGGGCTAGAGGGCACGAAGTGCCTGGAAGCCCCACTACCTTTTTTTTTTTTTTTTTTTTTTTTTTTTAAATTTCAAGTTAAATTTTAATTTTGATAAATAATTTAAATTTCAAAATATCAAGTTCAGTTCGACTATGTATGTAGTAATTCCTCAATAAAGTGCCAAAACCCTATTAAAATATATGAACATTTTCAACATTTTAATGTTTTTATTTAAAAATTTGTTGGAATATGAGCTTCAAACAATTATTATGTAAATAAAAATAATTAAATATATGTATTTATTCGTATTACAACCGTAGTAAGTCGATTCTTCCTTTCTTCTACTGAGTTTTGAATTTGATTTCGAATTGTAAAGAGATTCAAAGGGAAAATACTAGCGGATAAAAACTACCTCCATGAAAGGGTCATAATGGACTCAAGTTGTATTTTTTGATATTTTTTGCTTTTCGAGCCTAAATAGGTAGCCAAGATAATGCCTAAAAATAAGGTTCTAAATTCTGAAGTTTACATGATCCTCTCGTGTGCACCCTTAATTAACCTTATTTCTTTCCCAATTCCTGATTTATTTTATTCACTTACTATTAAAAGTCACATTTTAATAAAATATAATAATTTATTTATAGCATTTTTTACTATACTGTAATAAAAAATTAATTATAATAAATTAAATGTTTATTAAGGGAAAAGAAATGGGGAAAAAAAGAATAACTAAAATAGTTTGTACTTATAATAAGAATAAGTTTTATATTACAAATAAGATCTCTTTCCGATCAAATAATCAAAAAATAAAAATAATATTCGGAAAAAAGAAAAAATAATAAATAAATTACAATTGTTTCAAAGAATATACAGTTATAACACCATCCTCACTATATGTGAGCACTTTTTGTGCAATATTATTAATAAATATTGCGCCATAATCAAAACCACCGACATCTTCGAAGAGGAATGGTTCTCCGAGTCCATCGCAGAACCCAGCCATTCTTCCTCCACATAATGTGGCGAAATCTCCTGTAAAAATAAGATTTTTCTCTGTGATATCCGCTCGACAGCCAAATCTCATCGGAGCTTCGTAAGCCATGAGCGTAGAGTGTGGTTCTTCATCTAATTCGATTAAAATCGGTTGACTTTTAGCCGTTGTGACAACAAATCTTCCTGTAGGCAAAACTTTTGAAATTGAGGAAACGGCGCCTCCTCCTAACGGTATTTCCCATTTATTTCCTTCATGTAATGCACGGCGGTCGATAGCTGTTAACACGCCATCGTAATCTCCGTAAATAATTAAGTTATCAAATGTACTAACAGCTGTAGCGGGGGATGGAACAGAAATTGTAATTGGAGATGGCCTTCTCTTATCAATCCAGAAAACATTATCACTGGCAGCTGCAAAAAGTACGTTTGAATCGGATTCAGAGCCGCAAACAGAATGCGTCAAGCCTCCTGTATAGAAATCTTGTGATTGTACTTTTTCTACATCCCATATTTTCATGAATTTATCGAATCCGCAAGAAATTAATCCTGCATCACTCCAAAAAACATCTCTACATGCTAAACTATGGGCTTGTATTACAGCATTAGTTTTAAGCTGTGGTGTGCAAATGGTTACAGAGCCATTTAAAGCAGCTATTGCGACGCGGTCTACTTTTGAATTAAATGTAGCAGAATATATTGCTCCTGTAGGAAGGATCATACGTTCACTTTTAACAAACGAGTATTCTCCTATAAGTTTTTTAGAAGAAATGTGATTAGATTGATTGCTTTGGGAAATTGGAATTCCATTTGCTTCGGAAATCGATGTTAATTGGTTAATTTGAAGGTAAAGTTGAAGTAATCGTTCTCTAAGACGTCTATTTTGCGATTGAAGGATTTGATTTTCTTGTGATAAGTTATTAGGAAACCTTTTATCTTCCATCCCCAAAATTGAATTTTTTTTGTAAATTGACATAAAAAGTGTCTATTTTTTAATATATGGTCATTTTAACACATATTTAGTATTACTGTTATGTTAACACGATAATTTATTTGATAAGCCGACTATTAAATAAGTTTATTTGGATTCATAACAATCCTATGCAAGTATATACATGTAGGCTTAAGCAAGCAATGCTCTAGTCAGTGGATGATGACCTAGAAGTATTTATTGCATTCACAGAACGAGAAGTTTTTAGCAAAAATCAAAAAATCGAATGCATATTATTCCAAATACATACCAAGGTTATTCATTACTTGAATTATGTTGTTATCATGGAGCAGTTAAGGGTGTACTTACACCCTTATGACATAGCATTCAATTCATATGTTTAAGGCTAATTTTCAATGATGCTTCACGCCAGTTGTCACAAATTTGAATTAAAGTCAGATGGGCATAAGGGTAGCCTTAAATGTTTCAAGTTCATAAGATCGAAATATTATTCAGAATTATTCAAAACATAAATCGAATTTCATAGCTTTTGTGCAACAATACTTGATATTCCATTCCATTTGCGAATATTTTCTTTAACATGGTGCAGAAGTCAATGCAAAGGATTGCTTAGGGAAAACTGCTCTCCACAAGGCAGTGAATTATAATAAATTAGAAGAAGTTGAACTTATTCTTTCAGATCGTGCAAATATCAACAAAAAAGATAAATATGGAAAAATAGCTCTGCGCACAGCAGTACTTCATAATTGTAAAGAAATGGTTGAATTTCTTCTTTCCCATGGGACAAATATCGATGAAAAAGACAATAACCGAGAAACTGCTCTTCACATGGCAGTTCATTGTAATTATCAACCAATCGCTGAACTTCTTCTTTCACATGGTGTAAAAATCAACGATAAAGATTATCATAAAAAACAGCTCTTCATTATGCAGAATCTTATAATTATAAATCAATTCTTGAACTTCTTCTTTCATATTAGTGTATCTAGATTATTAAAGATAGAGCTGTTCTGGCATATTTCCATTATAGATTTTCATATGATTTTCTGTCATTTTATTTTTTTCTTTGTGATCATTTTTTGAACATGTGAAAAATTGTCAATTATACATTCTGCCAATAGTAAAGATCTTATGTGGCTCCTATAGTATTCTTATGCACGCTTAAGTCTAAATTTGCTAATATGGACTGAAATATTTGATAAATTTAATTTCCAACTTTTTTCTCTAATGTGATGATAAGAAAACTTTTATTAGAAAGATTAAATTAATTTTTAATGTTTTTGAATATCAATAAAAAAAATAGAAGAAATTTATTTGTCAATGTCTTATAATGAAAGAGATTATATGTGACATATCAGAATTTATTTTGTAATTTTTGAATAAAAACAATTTTATATTCTAATTTAGATTTGTTAACATTTAGTAAGCAAATGAGACAAATCAATATATTTGGCGGTTAAGTAACAGATAATTGAGATAATTCAAGAGAAGAAGCCACTCGAAAAAATATATTATATTGATTTTGAATATAATACTTTTTGTGCGGGTTGACTAACAATTGCAATTGATTTTCAAAGCCAACGGAATGAGAGATGGATTCTAGTGAAAGCAAACTTATGAAGGCTATTACTTTGTTCTTATTAGAAATTGTAAAATCCGAATTGTTAAATTCTCAAGAGGATTCGAATATTTTTGTGAGGAAACTCTAAGGTTCTGATGAGGAAAATTAAGATTAGTATGGACCAATCAAGTATTATCTATATAAGATATAAGAAGTTCTTCTATGTCTTCGTTACCCATAGATCTTGCAATAGAAAGGGCACAACGGCCATTTATTTATTTTTTATTAACAACTGCTCCATGTGAAACGAGAATCTCTACTATATCTTTATTTCCATGTGCAAGTATAAGAGGAGTTTGATTTCTATTTGTTTTGGCATTCACATCTGCGCCATATGAAATTAGTAACCCAACCATGTCTTTTCCAGTCCGAACTCCGTAATGAAGTGGAGTATATCCATTGTCATCCTTCTTGTTGATATCTAATTTCCTTGACATTGCAAGTTCAACTATTTCTTTCAAATCATATTCTGCAGCATAATGAAGAATACCCTTTTGTATATCATTTGTTTCCTCAATATTAAATCCACATTCGATGGCATATTTTACAGTTTTCGACAAACGATCTTGCATCGCTGAGAAAATAGGAAATCTCTTTATTGCGCTTTCCTTGAATTTCTTAAAGAAATATAAGGCTAAATCGTCATTACTAAATCTGTATATTAAATAAACAAATTCATTAATAAGTCCAAAATTTAAAAAGATCAAAAGTGCTTCAAGATTACAATAATGACACATATGTCTTATCATATGATCTAATACCATTTTGCTTAATTCAAAGTTATTAATGAGATAGATTAAGAAATCGATGTTGTGTGATGCAATTACATACTCAGCACATTTATCTAAATTATCTTCTTCTATTAATGGTAATGACTCGTTTATTATCCTTGGATTTCCACCTAAAAATGAAAGTGCAATTGAAAGGTTAGAAGGTTCAAAATTATTGTTTTCTCGTAAATACAAATAACATTTTTCAGAACCATAATATGAACATGCTTCCAAAAGATTGATATTTGAATTTTTGCCAAAAAAATCCTTTTCTATTGTTATGTTAATGTTAAAATCAGGCTGATTGGTGATATAAGCCAATGTGGTAACATCATCATTCATGATTGCATTGAATATTGAATTTGGTTTGTAAAGTTCAAAGTATTGATCATTAGTTATGATTTCGTTATTTTCGATTGCTGTAATAATATCTTTGAACCTATAAACATTTCTTCTTAGATGTTCATAATTGTCTAGACTGTTAATCAAATCGTAAAGTTGCAAATATGATTTCATGTAACTGTCTCTCAGATATAAAGCTCTGACAACTATTGGAAAAATATTGTCAATATCAAATTTATATTTGTTTAGTAAGATATCTTTAACCTTGATAAAAGTGTTTTCTACATTGTCTGGTGTGAGTTGATATATGCATCTAAGCGCATCGATATAGTCTGCATAAATTCCAATTAAATCATTGGGTGTTAAATTCTCTAAATTGTCTGGATTCATGAGAAAAAAAATGCTGGCTTTTTTAGCCCCTGTATGATGCGAAAAATTATTGAACTTATACTATTATGGGTGTCTGACTCTAAGTTTTCTATTCAGTAATTCTTGATTCTACAAAAATGAATGTTATTTACTCCTTGAGTCTTCATTCCAAGATCATTTTAGATTTTGAAACATTGAAAAGATAGAGTATGATGAATGTATGTTATAATTATGTTTATTCATAAAAATATCAATTCTTTCATAGGAGAAAAGTATCTTTAAGCTCATCCATGAATGAATAAGTGACGAGAGATCAACACATCTGGTTGAAAAGAATCAATGCATGAGAACATATAAAAATCGAAATGCTGTATAAAAAAGTGACACCAAAGCAGATGATTTTTTCTCCAGTTAGGGTTTTTGTTTATATTTCTCATAGTTTGATATTTTTTGGATGCTTCCTTCCCGATACAAAAGTCAGAATCGAGCTCGAAAAGTACAATTTTGTCCCATTAGTCGTATTTTTAATATTTTATATAACGTTTATGTGGTTTTATTACAAAACTTCAGTCGCAGATACATTTGTCAAGCAAGATGATGCTCCTTTGAATACTGATGAAGATTTATTCTTCTGTGAGCAATGCAACCATTATTGTCCTTTACGAGCTTCTCATTGCAAACATTGCAAAAAGTGTGTACTTAGAAGAGATCATCACTGCAATTTCCTAGATACATGCATCGGAATGGGAAATCATTTTTATTTTTTATGTTTTTTGTTTTTCTTATTGCTTTTCGATATAACTGCCATCAATGTCTTCAAGGTTGGCATGAAAGATGGACAACCATTCATAAAATGGCTCGTTACAACCATGCCTTGCAATATCTGCCTATTTGGTTCTATTGCATCGATAATACAACCTGCAATCCTATTTCCTATTCATTTCTTTTTAGCTCTTACGAATAATACTACCTGGGAATTTGTTAAAGGCTCGACAATTACGTATTTTCGTGGATGGCATATCCACTTAAGTCCATTTAGCAAAGGTTTAATAGGAAATCTAAAAGAGTTTTGCACCATGCACAAAAATCATCCAACTTACTTCATTCCGCGAACTCCAGAAGAATTAGAAAAATATAAGGCCGATAACAGCTTCATATCAAACGATACATATGACTGTTGCTAAGTTGTTATCATATTCTTGTTTGTATTTAAATATATTATTATAGATTGTATTATTTTACTTTTTTAATACTTATTTCCTATGAAATTAAAAAAACATAATTTCCCGAAACTTAGCCTAATGAGTATTATGAAGAATTCATGAAATTTGTATTTCATTATTACTCAAGATCACAATAAGATAGTGTCATAGCAGTACAGTTATATTGTATAAAAAACGGCATAAAACGAAAAAGCAACGAAGATATGATATTCAATATTGTGAATATTTGATTTGCATGTATCAATATAGGTTCACAGCATTTGTCTGAGGTGTATAATCAATGCAATTCTTAAGAGATGTCCATTTGATATATTTGAATAAGAGATTTTATTTGAGACATTTTTTTTAGATTTTAGCTTGACGATTATTTTTCGATCAAAAAAAGATGTCTCTTCCTGACGAGCCAATACACAGTGATTCAGAAGATGAGACCTCGATTAACATTGTTGGTGACATTCCATTAGAGTGGTATGATGAATTTGACCACATTGGTTACAAAGCTGATGGTTCTAAATTAATTCCAAAAGAAAGGCAAGACATTCTTGATGAAGTCATTCGCAAATCATCAGATCCAAACTGGTGGAGAAGATATTATGATAAGCGTGAAGGCACATACAAGACAATTACAGCTGAAGATTTAGATCTCGTTAGCAGACTTCGCAGTGGCGAAGTAGGTATCAGAGGATACAACTACTACCAGCCATTCTATGAAACTGAATGGAAAGACAAAATCCACCCACTTACAAATAAAATGCTTTCAAAGAAACACTTCCAGCCATCTAGATCATCATTATACAAGATCACACAAATTATGGCTAAGATGCGTGAACAGGAAGCTCAAGAGGAAGAAGAAAAACCAGAAAAAGAAGCAGTCGACATTTGGTCCGACGATTTCTATGTTAAGCCACAAAAACGTCGCGGTCTTCCTCCACCAAAGCAGAGCCTTCCATCTACAGAAGATTCTTACCATCCTCCGGATGATGAAAATCCACATCGTTTACTTGAAGTCGACGGCTACGACAAAGCTGTGTTAGAACGCTACGAACGCTGCTGTGACTTATTCCTTGCCCCACGTGAGCAAATTCCAAAGCGTCCAGAAACATCAGCCGAATTACTTCCAGAAATCCCAGATGTCGAAGAACTCAAGCCATTCCCAACCGCCGAAGCTGTCCGTTTCGTTGGCCACACCGGCCGTGTCCGCTGTGCCGATCTTAGTCCAGATGGTTCGATCATGGTCTCAGGAAGCTCCGATGGCGAGCTCAAATACTGGGAAACCATGACAGGCAGGTGCCTCAAGACCATTGACCTTGGAAAGATCGCTGGCGGAGAGAACAAAGCCGTTACATCTGTTGTTTACTGTCCAAACACGGAGACACCATTTGTTGTGGCCACATGCAACAAATATGTCTTCCTTATCAGAAGGCGTGAAGGAGATGTCGAATTTCCAGACGACGAAACCGGAAAAAGCGAAGATGAAGAAGAAAGACCGAAAGAAACACCTGAATTCAAAGTTATCGATAACAAGATTGTTTCTCTTTCATTCTCCCGTGTTACAGAGATGAGACAAGTCACATTCGACCGCACAGGAAAGTTCCTTGCCGTTCTTGCTCAATCCAGATTAGTCTACATCTTCAATGTCACAAGAGGATGGCAGTTCAAGACACCAATTGCAGCAAGTAACGCTTTCATCCAGAGAATTGCTTTCCATCCAACAAAGCATCACTTCTTCTGTGCTACACAGCACAATATCCTTGTTTTCGATCTCAAGGAGAAGAAGAAATTGCTCAGACTCAGACCTCTCGTTCAGTGGATTTCTTCCATCGATGTTCATCCAAGAGGTGACCACGTAATCGCTGGAAGTTACGATGGAAGATCTTTCTGGTTCGATACTGAACTTAAGACTGATCCATACAAGGTTTTGAGAGGACACGCTGCAGCAATAAGAGATGTCTCTTACCACAAGAAGTTCCCTCTTTTCGCTGTTGCTTGCGATGACTGCAAGATCGACGTTTTCCACGGAAAAGTTTTTAACGATTTGCTCACTTTGCCACAGATCGTCCCTGTGAAGGAACTCAATGGCCATAAGCCAAATGGAATCCTCGGCGTTTTGTATATCATTTGGCATCCAAACCAGCCTTGGCTCATCTCTTGTGGTGCTGACCACTCAATCAGACTTTGGTCTTAAGAGTTTTTTTATTTTATTATAGGGTGTCCAAAGGTGCGTTTAGCACAGCGCTCTATATGAGACTATTAAAGGAGATATATGCTGATTATAAATATATAATAAAAAATATGAATATATGTATATGATGAGTATGTTGTATTTTGGCGCCATGCTGGGATATAAAATAAATTTTGAGACAAGAGGCGGTTTCGCGGGAAATTTTGGCGGGATTTTTTTCATTTTTTTAATGAATCATAAAGAAAACATCCTCGCTCTTGCAAAAAAATGCAAAGACTGTAAAAAATCTACGAGACATTGGTAAAATGCTTCGGTATGGATGCTCCTAGCTATTCCACTGTAACGTATCATGTTAGGATGTATCACTTCATGAACAAAAAGGCGCCCATCATAAAAATTGACAAAAAATCGTCGGATCAAAGAAAAATCAAAGCAATTCTTCAAGCGCTAGATGAAGACCCAAGAGCATCACTCAGAAGGATAGAGGAGATGACAAAGATACCACGTACAACAGTCAGTTATTATCTGCACAATTATTTGAACTACAAACTAGCGTATACACGTTGGGTTCCGCACAACCTTAATTCAGTTCAAAAAAAATCTAGAGTCCAATCTTCGAAAGAGCTCCTCTCTATATTGGGTGCGTATCAATCCAAGAAGTTTCGCTTTTTAGTAACAGGGGATGAGTCTTGGTTTCAATATGCAACAGAAGCCAAAATCATGTGGATCCCGAAGGATGAAAATCCGCAAACATTCCCGAAGAAAAAAATTAACACACCAATGATGATGTTGTCGGTTTTTTGGGGCGTGAATGACATCATTGCAATTGATATTCTTCAAAAACCTAATACGATGAATGCTCAGTATCTAATTGACAATGTTCTTACTCAAATTATCAATTCTGATGAGTTTGAGAAATCCAAACAACAAAAACAAAAGTTTGCAATTCATTTTGATAATTCAAGAGTTCACAAAAGTCATAAGGTAATGAATTACTTGTTGGAAAACAATGTCAAAGTTGTTCCAAACCCAATTTATTCACCTGATATTGCACACTCTGACTTTTATTTATTCGGCACGCTAAAAAAGAGAGCTGAAGGACGCGAATTCGCGAGTCCAGATGATCTTGAAAATTTTGTAAGAGAGTAATTTGAGCAATTTTCTCATGATGATTTAAAGCGTGTCTTTCAAGCCTGGATCGATCGCTGCGAACGCGTGATTGAATCCAATGGTGATTATATTTAAATAAACTTTATATATATGTAACTTGTTTATTTCTATTCGCAGTATTCAGGTTTGTGCTAAACACACCTTTGGACACCCTATATTAGAGAATAAAGATATTATGATTATTAAATTATTTCCTTTCATCATTTAATTCATATAAATCGGAGATTGACGTTCTTTTTCATAAAAATAATGAATATTGAGTTTTATCTGTTAACAATTCTTTAACAAGTGTTTGATTGATTATTGATTCTTTTTTATCTTTACCTTCTGCCATATGAAGAGAGGTTTTTCCAATATTATCTTTTTCATTGATATTTACTACTTGTGATAGAAGAGCAGTTTCTGATTTTTGAGTTTTTAGGGTGTGACATTACTTTATTTTATCTAATGACTTAAATTAATGATTACACTATATGAGCTCAATAGCTTTCTATATCTCTCATTAAAGCTAATTTTAAAAAGAATTGGTAAGGATAGTAAATTTTTTACTCTATTGAACTGTTTGGAGAATTAATTCATATTTGCTGCTAATATCATAGTCTGCAAAAGAATTGATCCATTCAGCAATTGATTCTATATTAGTGAATTGTTCAAGGATGTTTGTTTGATTTGAAGCTAAACAGTTCTGAGAAACAATATAAAATAGATCTAAAATGGACATTAATATGTCTGTTTGCTCAAGAATTTCAATATTATCAAGAATAAACTTAATAACCTCGAGTTCAACAAGCTTAGGAATCAAATTCTCATATGATGAAATCCTAATTATAATCCTACATAACTTATCAAACATTATTTGAGTTACAGGTAAATTTATTAATTTTTCTAAATTATTTTCAATAAATTGAACAGAATAGTCATAACTTAATGAACACATCACTTCTATACAGTCTAATGCTTCAGGTTGAATCTGTTGTGAATAATTAAATAAATAATCAATGATTTTTGTCATTTCTGGAACAAATACGTCTTCCTTTCCGATAGAAATCTCTGAAATCATGCATATGCATAAGAAACTTAGAATATATAATTGAATTTCAATTGAATATTTGCTGAAATTCAAAAGTACGTTTTGGATTATGCCAAGATCAATAAAATACTGAATAAGCTCTGCATTTTCTTTTAGAAGCTTTGAATAAAGAGAAATAATCGAAATTAATGATTCATCAAATAAATCTTTTGAAATTTGGAAAATATCGGATAATATTGTTTCTACATCAGGTATAGAATCCATTCCTACAATATAATTGTGTATAAATAGTGTTGAAACGTTTTTTGTTTCCAATGAAGGAAATTTTTTAATAACATGCATGAAACATTGATGAAAAGCGTCATTAGTTGAACTGTTGTTAATCATTATGTTATTTATAATGGTCAAATATTGTTGAAATACAAAATTATTATTTGTTCCTAAAAAATAGGAAATTAGACTATCGAAGTCATCATCTTGCAGCAATTCATGGAAATTCTTGCAATAATTGGATATTCGTGCCAATAATGAACTGATTTCAATTTCAAACTCAGAATTAACTGATAAAAGAGAAATAAGTATGTGAATTAACTCGCATGGGAATTGAACTTGATAATTACCAATATTTATGCTTCGATTAAGCTCCATAATTAAATTCAGTGTTTCCTCTTGGTTATTCAGCTCTATGGATTCAATAATTTTCTGTCCTTTCTCCAGAATTAGTAGCAAGTATTGCTGCTCTTCTTTGCTATGCTCCAATATTGATAGAAAAGAAAATCAAATAAAAAAGTGTCAAAATAAAATTAAAATCTTCAAAATCTTCAAATACAATGATATTGCAATGCACAAAAGTAGAAAATGACTAAAAAATGAACTTTCAAGATCAGATTATTAAATATTCAAATCAATTACTATGATGACTGGCCAAGAAGGCATCATCTGCATTTTGTTGCGTATGTTTTGTTATCAACACTGATTTCTTTTCATTATTTCTTATGGATCTTACAAAAGGTGATATTGTTTCAGCTTTCTGTGAAGAATTGCAAACATATTTGAAAGGAGAAGTAGTAACATCACGACAAACAGCAAAAGGTCAGCAAGTTTACGTTCATTTTTTCAAGCAGGATAAAAGATTAGATAAATGGTATGACATTGATCAACTTGAAAAGACAGATCTCGATAGTGAAGAACTAAAAGAATCGAAACTTAACAGTTATTCTCAGTTTGGAGCAGCATATGAAGATTTCGAAAAATTACATGACCAAGTAACAAAAATACGCAATATAGATCTAGTTACAATTGGAAAATATACAATAAAGACATGGTATTACTCTCCATATCCTGACGAATTCAATCAATTAGATCATATTTTTGTTTGCGATAAATGTTTTCGATATTTTAAGACACAGGAAGAACTTGACTCCCATATGCAAGGAGAACGCCCATATCCACCAGGAAAAGAAATTTACAGAAACGAAAATATTTCAATTTTCGAACTGAAAGGAAATTCTCAAAAACTTTCTTGCCAATGCCTCTGCTTACTATCTAAACTCTTCCTCGACCATAAAACGCTTTATTACGATGTAGAAGGCTTTAATTTATACGTATTGTGCGAACTTGGCGACGACGACCAAGTTCACATAGCAGGCTATTTCTCCAAAGAACTGGATAGCTCAGATAACAATATTTTAGCTTGCATTACAATTTTACCTCCATATCAGAAAAAAGGCTACGGATTCTTACTTATATCCCTTGCCTACGAAATAGCAAGACGCGAAGGTAAAGTTGGTGGTCCTGAGAGGCCTTTGTCAGATCTCGGCAAAATTGCCTTTTCTTCTTACTGGAGAGAGGTAATTATATCGACATTGAAGGACAAACTCACAGAGATCAAGTATATCAGCGATATTGTCAAACTTACTTATATAGATGAAGATGATGTTGTTGATACACTAAAACCATTGAATTTAGTTGAATCTTACAGAGGTGAATACGAACTTCTTGAGTCAAAGGATGATATCCTCAATATTATCGACAAAATACCAACAAAAAGAATGATTTACGCTGTTGATGCAAAGAAATTGATTTGGTTGCCAAGCGAACTCATTCATCCAAACAGCCAATAGTTATTTTTTGTTTAATATATAAATTTCTAAACTTTTAATAGCTTGTTTTTTCAATATTTTCGAAATAATCATAAATTTCAGTTCCATTTAATAAAGAAGACTTAGTAAGTAGATAACAAACACCATCATATGATAAAGTAGATCCATTTATTGACTTTGTTTATATCATTATTGAATGTTCTTATATCTTTATAGTGCAGATCAAACTTTATAAGCTTTTTTTTTCTTTGAAGCCCAAAAGAACCTTCATCTTCATCAAGTTTATTAATGTTTAAAAGGCAACTATAGAGACTTTGATGTTTTGTTGCAAATACCAAATATAAAGTCTAAAATGTATAATAGATGCAATGAAAAAGACTTGAGAATTGGAAATTTTTTTCGTACTGTTGATGATGGGGTTAAATGGATACATGGATGTAATTATTGAACTGGTTTGGAATATTAGCGCATTGAGCAGATTGAGTTTCCTTGATAAATATTTCGAAATAATAATGATATCATCGTCAATCATTCATAGACATAACTTTTTTTAAAGTAATTGAACAATTAAATAAAAGATAAGATTTAATCAAAAATCAATTATTTATTATTAATACAAATTTATAATTCATCATTTTGAGGCTGAGTGTTTATATTTCCATCTTCTTTTGGAGGTTCAGGCAACTGTATCTGTGGCAGTATCTTCATCAAACTCTCTCTTATTATCCTTGCTCCTTCCTTCAACTCCTCAGTTGACATGTTGTTCAAAGTTCCCAAATCTCTTCCGTATTTGTAAGGAGCCAAATCGTATTTGATGTCTAGAGGGAATTCTTCGAATTGTTCCAAATCGAAAACATCCAACAAATTATTGACTTCCAACAAAGCTTTTTCTTTCGCTCTTCTCTCATTCTCCGCAATAGAGAAAGCAGTCAAGAATTTCACACCTCTTTCTTTCATTTCAGGATTAACAATTGGAGTATATTTCGCAGCAATTGGATAGCATTCTGTATTCTTACACCACGTGACTCCTTCAAGTCTTGTTTCGTTTATTCTCATTGTTGCAAGTCCTGCAGCCCTGTCTCCACTAGAGAAGTTCATATTCGAGATGTTCAACAGTTCGTAAGAAGCCAAAACTCTGCTTGAACCTTCAGGGATTTCGTCTTCTTTCGCAACTAATCTCATAACTGTACAGCCTCTGTGTTCGAATTTTATTGTGTCCTGGCATTGGTTGCCTTTGGTACAGACTGTTCTGTAACCACCGCATTTAAGGGAATACGAGAAAGGTGTTTGTTTCTGGAAAAATGTCATCGGAGTTTTTGAATAACCACGATAATTCTGGATACAGTAAACAGCACCAACAGAGATCTCCTCGTTGATGTTGAAGTCACGTTTGATGTTTGTACAGTTCGTATGTTTCTTAATTATGTCTCTGAGGTAAGGCATTGATGATGCAGCGCCAATTAACTGGACTTCATCAACTTTGAAGGAGTTTTGGTGGAATTTGTTGAATTTTGTGGAATGTTCGAGCTTGCCAACTGCTCTTTTAAGTAATTGTTCGATGATTATTGTTTGATTTTTGAATAAATTTACGTATCTGTTTGAATTTATCTGGATTTCTTCCATGGCCTCGGATATAGAGATGTTTTCCTTGGCGGCAACGACCTTTGCGCAGTAATATCCGCCTACTTTTTCACTCCATTCGTTTGCGGTTTCATTTGCAAGGGTATGATCTCCTTTCCACTGGAAAGTAATACCATGGACTTTGAATGATGTGGCTCCGAAGTCTACAAAGAGAACATTCCATGTGGCTTTCTGATATCTTGTATATCTTGTGGCGCCGTAATTAGCTGCGAGGGCTTCTGTGTCGTCAATGATGGCCTCAAGTGGCATACGATACAATTTGAGAGCGTTTTTGAGGGCTTCACGTTGTAATCCTGTCCAAAAAGATGGAACAGCAAATGTAAGGCCATTATTGTTGCCATGATCGAGAATATAGTTCATGAAGTATAGAGAAACGAATTCTGGTGTTGTAATGTTTGCTGATGTATGAAAAGATGTGTTAGAACGTCCAATTGTTTTAGGAAGAAATTCATATCCGTTTTGCGGACTTCTTCTAAGAATTGGGAGTGCTTCAGCACCAAACTTAATTGGAAAATCTACGAGTTTTTGAGGAAGGTTGTTCATATCAATAGGATATTTTGATGCAGCCGCAGCTGGGATATTTACTCTGTTATAGCCATCTTTAATTACTTTGGGTTCGCCAGAAAAAGTGCTTTCCGCTATTTTAATGTACTGCGTACTTAAATCTATGCCTAAAATTCCGACACAAACAAGTCCGTACAGAAACATTTTTTTTTGTTCTTGAGTTTGAAAATTATTTTTAGGTGTTGTTCATGTTATATAATATCAAGTATGAGTAAAGCAACTAAATTTCTTTTAATTGTTCGCATTATCCCAGCACTAAACCAAGATTTTAGAGATTTGGAAAATTTCCTTAATTATCCTTAAATAGAGCATACGATTCATTCCATATGTCATTTGTTCCTAACATTCACAGCATGACATTCATTCTTGATTTTGTTGTTAATTGATAAGATACATTTTCAGCTTATATCGGCGCGCAGCTTAGCTGCGCGCCGATAGAACGCGCTATATAATTTTCGCCGTCTTTAATTAATCAAATCAAATTAGCTATCTAAATTTCATATTTTCGGGACTTATTTTTGACCATTTTCGGTTGCAATTTTTAATCGTTTTTAAACTAATATCATATATCAATTTTAGTTATATTGTACTGTGGATTGATCCATTTAAATCGCCGAAAATTCAATGATCAAATAATTTCAATAATAAATCATGTTCAAAATTCGATTCTAAGCAGTTAATTTTATTCTTTATCCTATGAGATATCATGTTCAAAATATATGAATTAATTTCATAAATCACTTCGAAAGTAGTAGGATATGACGGGTTTAGTGACTTTTTTTGTTACATCTATATATAGACGATGCATTAAAATATATTTATTTATAAATCATTAAAAAATTAACATTAATTTTAAAATAATTTATTTTTTTATCTTTTATAAAAGAAGCTATATATAGATGATGTCAGATATTCCGCGATTAAGTAAACATTGTTTAAATCCTGAATGGGTTAAACTTCAATTTAAAAATGAAGATTGTGAATTATTAAATGAATATGAAAGCCAAAATAAGCTAATGAGGTATAAATATAATGATAAAGAATATTTAATTTCATGGAATCAATGGAGTCATAATCAAAGACCTCATAAACGAGAAGAAGAAATTGAAAATAATGAAATGGAAATCATTGATGACATTAAAGAGGATGGAATTCCTAAATTTTGTAGAAAAACCTTTAGAACTAAGTTAGGAGCATATAAACGTAGAGTATTAAATCCTGAATATCTTAAACATCAATTTAAAAAGGAAGACTGTGAATTATTAAACGCTAATGAATATGAAAATGCTAAATCAAAACTGAGATATAAATATATTGGAAGTTATGAAAGGTGTAAAGATAAAGATAAAGTTTATTCAGTTTCATATAATAACTGGCACACGTTAGGGATAAGAAAACATTTAGGAGATTATGGGAAATGTTCTGAATTCTTTAAATCTAGTATATACGAGAGAGTAAAAGAAATTAGAAATAATTATTTTCATGAATAAAAAATAAACTACCATAATGAAATAAAAAATAATTTTTTTAAAAAATAAACTTTAAAAATTCATGTCTTACATTTTTTGAATAATTTATTTTTTTATTTTGTATGAAATGAACAGCTCAAAATTCGTGACTGTGAATCAATTAATGGATAAACTTTCACCAATTCTCACCCAGGTTAAACAAGTAGACGTTTATTTTGATGATTACATACAAAGTTTATTTTATAAAGGTAAGTTTAATATTAAACCTATTGCTTTTGCATTTGATGGTAAATTAATCGAAAATTCAAAAATTTGGGAATTAATTCCGGATATTGAATTTATAACAAATATTAAGGATAAATGGTTTAAACAACAAAACCACCTCACTAAAGTTCTTTGTAGATTAATGATTAAAACTGAGGAAAAAGAATTTAACGGGTTTAAATATCATCCATGTAAAATTTTAGAACTTGGTAACGAAAAACTTCAGAAAAAATTAAACGAAAGACTATCAAAAGATAAAGTTGAAAGAGTAAATAAACTCGCTAAAGGTAATGGTAATGATGAAGATGAATTTGATGAGTTCAACATTGAACTTTAAGAAACTAATGATTATTTGAATTTATGAAATCAATTATTTGATTCATTCTTTCTTCAATCTCTTCTATTCTTTTTGTTAAATCATCTATTTTCATTAATGAGGTGATTCTTGATTGAGGAATAGATTTCAAACTAACCACCCCTTTTATTTTTGAAATTTTGAATCCATCAACTTTAAACATTTTATTCAATTTACACGTTGTCAATTCTTCAAATAATTTTTTATTATTAGCATAATAGTCATTAAATTCTTCAACAGATGAAAAAAATTTTATTTCAGTAATTGGTTTAACAACGTTTATTTTTTGTTGAACATTTTCACTTTCATTTATTTCTTCCTCCTCTGTTTCATTTATTTTTAAAATCGGCTTCATTTATCATTAAATAAAAATTAGAATATAAGTGATGAAATATATTTTTTAATTAATATTAAATCAGAAATGGCGGCAGGATTCTTTAAAAAATTATGGGATGGAATTAAGAAAGCTGCGGGTTGGGTTTATAAAAAGATTATTAAACCCGTTGCAAACTTTTTAGCACCAGTAGCGAAAACGGCAGGAACTATCATAGGTGGAGTATTAGGTACTAAAGCGGGTAATCCGGCGATGGGAGCACAAGCAGGTAACGCAGTTGGTGGAATTGCTGAAGGAATACTTAATAAAATAGGTGGTAGATAGTGGAAAAATAAATAAATATTATTTTTATCTTAGTATCGGTTGTAGTCTTTGATAAACTTTTTCTCCTTTATTTAAAATTTCTCTTATTGGTGCAGCTTTTGGTGTTATTGATTCAGCAACGCCACTAATTGCTTCTTTATTCTTAAATATCCAATTTGCCCCCTTCTTCAATGTTTCCCAAACTTTACTCGCCCCTCTTTTTACTCTATCCCACAGTTTCTTAAATATACCTGCAGCCATAGTTGATTATTTCATTAAAATTAAAAATTCATTTCCATCTTTTAATTTTGATTTTTTTATTTATTAATAAATGACGACTAACTATTTAGTGCCAAACACTAAACCGATTAATGGAAATGTATTTCATTCATTCGAAAAGATAAATGAAATATTCGCAAAGAATGATGGTAGAAGATATAGGGTGTCCAAAGGTGCGTTTAGCACAGCGCTCTATATGAGACTATTAAAGGAGATATATGCTGATTATAAATATATAATAAAAAATATGAATATATGTATATGATGAGTATGTTGTATTTTGGCGCCATGCTGGGATATAAAATGAATTTTGAGACAAGAGGCGGTTTCGCGGGAAATTTTGGCGGGATTTTTTTCATTTTTTTAATGAATCATAAAGAAAACATCCTCGCTCTTGCAAAAAAATGCAAAGACTGTAAAAAAATCTACGAGACATTGGTAAAATGCTTCGGTATGGATGCTCCTAGCTATTCCACTGTAACGTATCATGTTAGGATGTATCACTTCATGAACAAAAAGGCGCCCATCATAAAAATTGACAAAAAATCGCCGGATCAAAGAAAAATCAAAGCAATTCTTCAAGCGCTAGATGAAGACCCAAGAGCATCACTCAGAAGGATAGAGGAGATGACAAAGATACCACGTACAACAGTCAGTTATTATCTGCACAATTATTTGAACTACAAACTAGCGTATACACGTTGGGTTCCGCACAACCTTAATTCAGTTCAAAAAAAATCTAGAGTCCAATCTTCGAAAGAGCTCCTCTCTATATTGGGTGCGTATTAATCCAAGAAGTTTCGCTTTTTAGTAACAGGGGACGAGTCTTGGTTTCAATATGCAACAGAAGCCAAAATCATGTGGATCCCGAAGGATGAAAATCCGCAAACATTCCCGAAGAAAAAATTGACACACCAATGATTATGTTGTCGGTTTTTTGGGGCGTGAATGGTATCATCGCAATTGATATTCTTCAAAAACCTAATACGATGAATGCTCAGTATCTAATTGACAATGTTCTTACTCAAATTATCAATTCTGATGAGTTTGAGAAATCCAAACAACAAAAACAAAAGTTTGCAATTCATTTTGATAATTCAAGAGTTCACAAAAGTCATAAGGTAATGAATTACTTGGTGGAAAACAATGTCAAAGTTGTTCCAAACCCAATTTATTCACCTGATATTGCACCCTCTGACTTTTATTTATTCGGCACGCTAAAAAAGAGAGCTGAAGGACGCGAATTCGCGAGTCCAGATGATCTTGAAAATTTTGTAAGAGAGCAATTTGAGCAATTTTCTCATGATGATTTAAAGCGTGTCTTTCAAGCCTGGATCGATCGCTGCGAACGCGTGATTGAATCCAATGGTGATTATATTTAAATAAACTTTATATATATGTAACTTGTTTATTTCTATTCGCAGTATTCAGGTTTGTGCTAAACACACCTTTGGACACCCTATATTATAGAGAACTTGAAAGTTCATGCTATGACTCTGATGCTCCATATTTTGATGATAAACAAACTCATTTAAGAATTACAAACCCAGCTCATGATGTGAACCAATTAGGTGACACATATATTAAACGCAAAGTTAAAGCAACTCTAGTTTCAAATAAAGCTTTCACATGTGATGCCGCTTTTAAATGCATGCGTTTATTCGTTGGTTACAAATCATCAAATCAAAGCTTTAAACAATTAGAAGTAGAAACCGAAAGAGGTGATGCCGGTTATCTTCAGATGGATTGCGCCCGTGAATCTTTTGCATTTGCAACATATAAACCAAAATCAGAAAGGAAAGTTAAAAAGTTTGTTCATTCGTTATATAATAATGTTCAAAAATATGATAACTCAGTATGTGGTAAATATATTGACCCTTCAGAAGTTTTCAAGAAAGCAAATGAAGAAGTTGATGTCACTTTTGATATGATTATTCCGGTAAATGATTTGTTAGCATTTCAGGCGTTCGATGATTATCCTAAATCATTTGGTGATATCATTCTTAAATATTATGTTTTCAGGGATACTTTAGTATTTTGTCAGGTTGACCCGTTAAGAGTTGCTGATTTACAAAATTACGTTTATGAAAAGATAACTGATGAAAATTATGAAAAGATTATGAATCATGTTTATAAATAT